TGTTTGTGCAGACTGCTGACCACCATCGGCAAGGACCTGGACTTCGAGAAGGCCAAGGTGAGGAGAAGAACCACCTTTAGATGTTTGGAGGACCAGCAGAGAGGAAGTCTTTTCTATCTGTCCCTCGTTTGATCTCTGAGACCCGACTTTGACTCAGAAACATGTTCTGACCTTCAGGAGAGAGGGACAAAAAAAACAGGAACAGAAATCAGAGAATTTAGTTTCACTTTAATATCAAAATATATAAAAACTAAATCAAACTACTAAGAGAGAAAGTTCTGGTTCTGGTTCTCCTCAGTTCACAGAGATGTTTTCAGGGTTAGGAGGAAACCGGGTCTGAGCGGCTCTCCTCTAGACTTCAGTTCCTCCCAGCAGGACCCACTCTGAAAGAAGAACCAGCAGGTCCAGAACCTCCCTGCTGTTGTTTTAAGACCCAGTTTAGGTTTGTGGATCCTGCAGAATCAGGTCTTCAGTCTGGTCCTCAGGTTTAGTCTGTTTAATGTTCCCAGATCAGCTTTAAAACCGGACCAGAACTTTGGTTCTGTTCTTATTGGGCCTTATTTTAATTTTGATCCTCCTGTCTGAGTCCAAAACTGAAGAACGGATCAGTCCAGTCAAATGAACTCTCAGGTCTCTCATGAATCCTCCTTGTCCTCCTCCTTATCCTCCTCTCCTCTCCTCTTCTGTCCTCCTCTTCTGTCCTCCTCTCTTGTCCTCTTCGTCCTCCTCTTCTGTCCTCCTTGTCCTCCTCTTCTGTCCTCCTCTCCTCTCCTCTTCTGTCCTCCTCTTCTGTCCTCCTCTCCTGTCCTCTTCGTCCTCCTCTTCTGTCCTCCTTGTCCTCCTCTTCGTCCTCCTCTTCTGTCCTCCTCTTCTGTCCTCCTCTCCTGTCCTCTTCTGTCCTCCTCTTCTGTCCTCCTTGTCCTCCTCTTCGTCCTCCTCCTCAGCCTCGGATGGATCAGTACTTCAATCAGATGGAGAAAATCGTCAAAGAGAGGAAGACGTCTTCTCGGATCCGCTTCATGTTACAGGACGTTATCGACCTGAGACTGGTGAGTGTCCAAGTCCAGATCCTCTAAAGATGAAGGTAGGGCTGGACGATAAAACGATCAATAACGAAAATTCATTTCCCTCAATATCGATATAAAACACGATCAATATCCTTTTCAATATTCTGACATGTTTTGGTCGACTATTCGAACAGCCAATGAAAAGTGGAGCTTCTCCGGGTCTGAACCAATCATGTTCTGAATTAGAACCAAGTATCAACCAACTGCAGCGTCGTAGCAGACAGCAGCTCCACCCAACCATAGCACTTTAACAGGTGAAGCCGACAGCACTGTTGGTGAGAAACAAAGAAAATGAGTGCTACCCCCGACAGAAATGACCATGAAGGCTCAACAGATGACCACATCAATGTCAACCACAACACTGGCGTTAGGAAAACGTCGGTGGTGTGGAGGTATTTTGGTTTTTGGAGGTCGGACATGAAGCAGAGTAATGTGGACTGACAGCTCTGTTTATGGAGCGGTTACCATAGCAACCAGGTATACAAGAACCACACAGGTGGGTCAGCTTCAAGACCAGCTAAGACCAGGATCAGGGAGTCCTGAGGGTCAGCTGATCAGACCGACGCTCTCAGGTACCGGGTCATCCATGAGTCTATAGATCTAGAGTCTGCAGATCTAGAGTCTACAGATCTAGAGTCTGTAGATCCGCCTCTGTTCGTCCCTCTGATGTCAGGAACTTTAGAGTCCACCTTGACCTGGTCTCAGAGTCTTCAGAACCATCAGGACTTTGTGAACCAGATCACCGGTTTATGGATCCGGACTCTCAGACTCCGGTTCTGGTTTTTCTTTTTTCAGCACAACTGGGTCTCCAGGAGGGCCGACCAGGGTCCAAAGACCATCGAGCAGATCCACAAGGAGGCCAAGATCGAGGAGCAGGAGGAGCAGAGGAAGGTCCACCAACAGCTGCTGTCCAAGGACAGCAAGAGGAGACCGGGTCAGAACCACACACACACACACACACACACACAGGACAGCAAGAGGAGACCGGGTCAGAACCACACACACACACACACACACACACACACACACACACACACACACACATAGTGGTTTGAGTTCCCTGATCGATCAGACCGACACACTGCTGACTGTTTGTGTTGTATTTCTGATTGTGTGTTTGTGTGTATGTATGTGTGTAACTCTGATTGTGTGTTTGTGTGTGCGGACTCTTAGACCCCCGAGAGCAGAGAGAGCAGAGAGACCAGCGGGTCCAGAGAGAAGAGACCTGGAACACTGTGCCCATGACCAAGAACAGCAGGACCATCGACCCCACCAAGATCCCAAAGATCTCCAAGGTGAGTCCACTTCACACTCTGGTCCTCCATAAACACCAGGTGCAGGTGGAGCTGATCTTCTCTGAGGAGCGTATCTTCTCTGATCTTCTCTGAGGAACTGATCTTCTCTGATCTATTCTGTGGAGCTGATCTTCTCTGAGGAGCTGATCTTCTCTGATCTTCTCTGAGGAGCTGATCTTCTCTGATCTTCTCTGAGGAACTGATCTTCTCTGATCTTCTCGGTGGAGCTGATCTTCTCCGAGGAGCTGATCTTCTCTGATCTTCTCGGTGGAGCTGATCTTCTCTGATCTTCTCTGAGGAGCTGATCTTCTCTGATCTTCTCTGAGGAACTGATCTTCTCTGATCTTCTCGGTGGAGCTGATCTTCTCTGAGGAGCTGATCTCTGATCTTCTCGGTGGAGCTGATCTTCTCTGATCTTCTCGGTGGAGCTGATCTTCTCTGAGGAGCTGATCTTCTCTGATCTTCTCTGAGGAGCTGATCTTCTCTGTGGAGCTGATCTTCTCTGATCTTCTCTGTGGAGCTGCTTTTGGATTCAGAAGAACCATCAGAAGAGAGTCGGCCCAGAGAGTGAACATGGGTCCTGAAGGAAACAGCTGATGTGAAGGATCCTCCACCATGTTTCAGTTTCAGTGAGCTCCTCCACCTTTAACACCGTCACTGGGTCGGTCCAGTTCTGGGATGTTCCTCACGTCCGGATCTGAAGTTCTTCCACATCAGTCTGGTTCTGCTGTGGGTCTTTGAGTTCCTGAACTCAGCAGCAGCTCCTCATCCACACACATGCACGCACACAAACACACACGTGCACACACACACACACACACACACACACACACACTTGCATGATTGGTGTTTCTGTAGTATCTTGACCCTCTGCTGGTCACATGAGGAACTGCATTGGATTTCTGGTTTGTGGAGCTCCCCCTGCTGGAGAAGTTCTGTCATGACTTAAAAACTTCATAATTCATATATTTGATTTTATATTTTAGGAACAGCTGATTAAACATAAAACTGTGTTTTACCAGAACTTTCTTTTTAACTGTTTGAGTTTTTAAACGTCACCAGGATCTGTGGTAGAGCTGAGGGAGATCATGAAATCATGTTCTAAAGTATTTCAGCTCTGAAAATCTCAGTTTTCTGTTTTTGTTTTCTGCAGCCTCAAATGGACGAGAAGATCCAGCTGGGTCCACGAGCTCAAGTCACGTGGGTGAAGGGCAGCAGCGGAGGAGCCAAAGCCAGCGACTCTGGTGAGAAAAGACAGAGAAATCCTGTTTAGTCAGGAGTGAGAGAAGGTTCAGAAGGACGTGAGGAGGATCTTCATCAGGCTTTAGCAGCAGGTTTCCTCAGACTGGTTTCATCCCAGGAGAGAAGAAGGATGGAGGGAAACTCTGAGTGTTTGTGGCGTCTTGTTTGGTTAAGGTCGAGCTTCTTCAGGTCCTCAGATTTCATCACATGACATCATGAGACTGACTTTAATATCTACAGAGATGATCAAATCAGATCATCTCAGACACTTGAGCTCCGAATTTTAGAAAAGAAACATCTTCAGACATGGTCGAAGAAAATCAGGTTTTTAGTGAGGAGGTCACTGACACGGCGTTTTAGTGAGGAGGTCACTGACACGGCGTTTTAGTGAGGAGGTCACTGACACGGCGTTTTAGTGAACTAAAGATCGATCAGTGCTCAAAATCATCCAGAAAATAACAGGAGGTCACGACTCCCATGATCCTTCACTCATCCACACCGTCATGGAGATGCAGATCTCTGGTCTGTGATTGGTCGCAGAGGTGGCTGTAAACACGACTCTCTGTGTCTCTCTGCCCCTCCCCCCCTTAGAACTCTCTCGGACCGCCGGCCTCAATCGTTACTCTGCGCTCCAATCAACTCCTTCCCCTCAGCCCTCTACCGCTCCTCCTCAGAACCAGGACTTTGACTCCAGGAGGACTCTGGGAAGGTACGGGTCAGAACCAGTTTCTCTTGGACTGTTTGGTTCTTTTTCAGACGAGTGAATTTCTTCTTCGTTGGTGTTTGCGTCTCCATAGTCGTAGCAGTACAGGAAGGGAGCGCAGCGAGAAGCCCCTGATCTCGGCTCCTCCGTCCTCGAGACCCGGACCCTTCGTCAGGGGGGGCAGTTCCAAGGAGCTGCTGGAGAGTCCAAGTCCTGAGGAGCCCAGAAGAGACCGGGTACGAGAGGGAGCCGAGCCCCGGAGACCGAGTGTAACAGAGGACAAACCGGAACTGGAGCGCAGCAGAGTCAGGGAGCCAGGTAAGACCCTCATCCTGACCCTGACCCTGACTTTGACCATAATCCCTTACCCTGACCCTGACCCTGACCCTGACCATAATCCCTGACCCTGACCCTGACCATAATCCCTGACCCTGACCCTGACCCTGACCTTGACCATAATCCCTAATCCTGACCCTGACCCTGACCATAATCCCTAATCCTGACCCTGACCCTGACCATAATACCTTACCCTGACCCTGACCCTGAAGACTGACTCTGACTCTGGAAGCTCCTGTCACACCGGGAGCGTTTTTTTCGTGCGATTATTTCGGACGTCAATATTTTTTTTGAACCCGTATCCTGTCAACACAAGTGTCACATCAGCAACGTTTTCCCGTCCTGCGATATTGCAGCATTTATTTTTTTCGGATCACGGTCGAATTTTCAGTTACACAGACTGTGTGTCCACTTCTGACCAATCAGATTTCGTGTTGTTGTGACGTCAGATTCACCGGTATATCCAACATGGCCGATAAAAGACACAAACATTACAAAGAGAACGACCTGAAGGACGACTTGTGGAGAGTCATAGTGTCGGATTTCTCCGATGACGATGGTTTGTGAGCTTTAACAGTTTGATAAACGTCTTTGTTCGAACTTTCATCTGTGCTAACGTAACTTTAGCTCTAAGCTAACCTGTTCAGATACAACAGACCATCTGTATTTTCACTGTAAACTCAGTCTCAGCTCCATCAGGTCTCTGTTGTTCCCTTACGTTTATGGATTATAGTTTCATGTTCTTATCTGGTTCTGACCCGACTCAGTCCATCATGACAGACAGACATCAGAACTGAGAAACACTCAGTCTGCTGTTGGATCAGTCTTCTCACTTCCACCCGGGACGCGTCTTTTTTACCCCGGAGAGTCGCAGAATCACATTGATGTGGTCAGTCCGGCGCGTCAAAATTCGCCTCTGAATATTTCGTAATTTTGCGTCGTTCCCGGTGTGTACGGACCTTCAGCGCTGATCAGTTTTTTTTCTGTTGTTTGAAACCATGAGAGTTTAAAACAGTTTCAAGTGTTCAGGCTGTTTTTTCTGACTGTTGATGTCTTTGTTACTGACTGAATGGTTGAACTGTTCTGATTGGATGGTGTCCTCAGGTCACCTGAGTCACACCTGAGTCATGTGACCCGAGTCTGAATCCTAGAAGTCATGAGTCAGCTGAACGGTCATTTTCTCATCAGTCAAAGAACTTGTTTGTGATTGGATAAATCTGTCTCATGGAGGTCTTTCTGATTGGTCACAAACGTCACAGGTGTGAACACATCAACCACACCTGCCCCACGCCGCCGCCGCCGCCTCACCTGTTTGTTTGTTTGTTTGTTTGTTTGTTTGTTTGGGTTGACAGTGAAACCTGAACCCGTCGTACCGACCCCGGACAGACCGGCTCTGTCTGAGGAGGAGGTGGAGAGGAAGTCCAAGTCCATCATTGACGAGTTCCTGCACATAAACGACTACAAGGTACACACACACACACACACACACACACACACACACACACACAGAGTCCTAACCCCGCCTCTCTCTCTGTCCTGCAGGAGGCAGTTCAGTGCGTGGACGAGCTTCAGCTGGGCTCTCAGCTGCACGTTTTCGTTCACGTCGGCGTGGAGTCGACTCTGGAGCGCAGTCAGATCACACGGGACCACATGGGTCAGCTGTTCTTCCAGCTGCTGCAGCAGGGACTCCTGCCCAGACCCCAGTTCATCAAAGGGTCAGTCCACCTGCCGGTTTTTAACCACGCCATAGAGGCGGGGTCGATCAGCTGACGCTCAAAAATCCAACATGGAAAAAAAGACGTTTTTCAGGAACTAAAGATGAAGGAACTAAAGTTGTGTTGTTGTTGTTTCCTCAGGTTTGCAGAGACACTGGAGCAGGCGGACGACGTGGCCATCGACATTCCCCACATCTGGCTGTATCTTGGCGAGCTGCTCAGCCCCGTGCTGAGGGAGGGGGGGGGCTTCTCTATGAGAGACCTCTTTAGGTACGGAGGACGGACTCCGAGAGTCGAACCCTGAACCAGAATAAACCTGATCGTATCATTATGAATAAAAAGGCAGGGCTGGTTCTGGTTCTGGTTCTGGTTCTGGTTCTCTGGGTTCTTTTTGACCTGATTTTTCATTGAACGTCTTTGGTTTCTTCGTCTTTCTTGCGCCTCACGTCCGTCTGTGTTTTTGTCCACAGTGAACTAAGCAAACCTTTGCTTCCTGTGGGAAGAGCTGGGATCTTAATTTCTGAAATTCTGCACATACTATGCAAACAAATGGTGAGAAACACGTCTGTGTGTGTGTGTGTCTGTGTGTGTGTGTGTGTCTGTCTGTCTGTCTGTCTGTCTTTGTTTCTGCGCCTCTTCTTGTTATAGTGGAGGAATAAATTTCACTTTCATGTCATCAGAGCGAAATAAACGATAAATCCTCCGATTTTCTGTCATCATGACCATTAATCACCAAAACTGATCGGCTGTTTTTCAGCAGCTCCTTCAGTCGACAGAATAAAACCGATTTCTGACATGAGATGTCCAACATGTCCTCTTCTTGTCCCCACAGAGCCATAGGACTGTGGGTTCTTTGTGGAGGGACTCTGGCCTCAACTGGACCGACTTCCTGCCTGAAGGAGAGGACGTCCAGACCTTCATCTCACAACAGGTCAGTGAAACAAAACCTGGACACAGACGAGGAGAAATCAGTCTACTCTTCCTTCGCTATTCAGCCTCTTTTTCATCCTTCCTTCATCTACAGAAGCTCCAGTTCGTTCTGTCGGACGACTCCGGCTCTGAGGCGTCTCAGTCTAAGAGGATTCTGTCTCCAGAAGAGCTGAGTCAGCAGCTGGAGAAACTCCTCCTGGAGGACATGGCCAGTGACGAGCAGATCTTTGACTGGGTGGAGGTGAGGAGAGACGGATGAAAACGCAAAAGACGAGACAGACGAGTGACACTCAGAGACAAAAGATGAGTTCATGATGGTGAAGAGGCGCACAGGTAGAGAGGCGAACAGGTAGAGAGGTAGAGAGGTGAACAGGTAGAGAGGCAAACAGGTAGAGAGGTGAACAGGTAGAGAGGTGAGAGGTAGAGAGGTAGAGAGGCGACCAGGTAGAGAGGTGAGAGGTAGAGAGGTAGAGAGATAGAGAGGCGAACAGGTAGAGAGGTAGAGAGGCGAACAGGTAGAGAGGTAGAGAGGCGAACAGGTGGAGAGGCGAACAGGTAGAGAGGTAGAGAGGTAGAGAGGCGAACAGTTAGAGAGGCGAACAGGTAGAGAGGCGAACAGGTAGAGAGGTGAACAGGTAGAGAGGTGAACAGGTAGAGAGGCGAGAGGTAGAGAGGTGAACAGGTAGAGAGGCGAGAGGTAGAGAGGTGAACAGGTAGAGAGGTGAACAGGTAGAGAGGCGAGAGGTAGAGAGGTGAGAGGCAAACAGGTAGAGAGGTAGAGAGGTGAGAGGCGAACAGGTAGAGAGGTGAGAGGTAGAGAGGTGAACAGGTAGAGAGGTGAGAGGTAGAGAGGTAGAGAGGTGAACAGGTAGAGAGGTGAGAGGTAGAGAGAGAGGTAGAGAGGTGAACAGGTAGAGAGGTGAACAGGTAGAGAGGTGAGAGAGGTAGAGAGGTAGAGAGGTAGAGAGGTGAGAGGTGAACAGGTAGAGAGGTAGAGAGGTGAACAGGTAGAGAGGTAGAGAGGTGAGGTAGAGTAGAGAGGTAGAGAGGCGAACAGGTAGAGAGGTAGAGAGGTGAACAGGTAGAGAGGTAGAGAGGCGAACAGGTAGAGAGGTAGAGAGGCGAACAGGTAGAGAGGTAGAGAGGCGAAGAGGTAGAGAGGTGAGAGGCGAACAGGTAGAGAGGTAGAGAGGCGAACAGTTAGAGAGGCGAGAGGTGAACAGGTAGAGAGGTGAACAGGTAGAGAGGCGAGAGGTAGAGAGGTGAACAGGTAGAGAGGTGAACAGGTAGAGAGGTGAGCGGTAGAGAGGCGAGAGGCGAACAGGTAGAGAGGTGAACAGGTAGAGAGGCGAGAGGTAGAGAGGTGAACAGGTAGAGAGGCGAACGGGTAGGTCACTGAGAGGTGGGACAGAAACGTGGATCTGGTTGTCCTGCAGACTACATTCGGGTATCCTGCTCAGACCTTTATGGACGATGAAGACCGGTCCACCTCTGCCCCTGTCAGTGTGGATCAGATCCTCTAAATGAGACCTGGTCCCTGTGAGGCTCCCGTCTCCTGTCTCACCTGTGTGTCCTGTGGAAGGACGCCTCGCCCGTGTTCACACCTTATAAAAATGGAAGGTCCACACGAATGATCATGTTGACGAGGTTTACTGGTTACAGATCCGGGTTCATCAGGCCACAGGTGTAACAAAGACTGGTCTGAGACCGCTCAGGTTCATGTAGTCGTCCACGTTTCTAAACTTAGTGCTGACATTTAGTTGACCGTAAGAAAAATCCATTTACGTTAAGAACAAAGAACAGAATATTTGAAGGAGCTTTAGGTGAACATATGGAGGGTCCACAGAAGGAAATACGCTGACAGAACACATTTTGGGGACCTGTGTGATGTCAAACATGGGCTCCAGCACTCTGACACTGAAGTATCTGAGGTATTTGAGTGACACAGCTCCACCACTCTAAAGAAACTCCTCCTAACATCCTGTGATCTACTGTCGATGGTTTTAACTCTGTAAATCTTTAAATGTGCGTCTCTTTGGCAGGCTAACCTGGATGAATCTCAGATGAGCTCGTCTCCCTTCCTGAGGGCGTTGATGACAGCTGTGTGTAAGGCAGCGGTGAAGGGTAAGTCCTCCACCACCTGGAGGAGGAGCCGTTTATTCTCTGATTGGAATATTTACTCGTCTTTACAGCGAGCTGGCGCTCACTCTGCATGCTGCTTTTCTCCTCCTCCTCCTCACACAGATGATAACACCAACTGTCGAGTGGACACGGCCATCATCCAGAAGAGATTGCCCGTTTTACTCAAGTACCTTAACTCAGACACTGAGCGACAGCTGCAAGCACTTTATGCACTTCAGGCGCTGATCGTCGCCCTCGATCAGCCTCCGAGTAAGTGCTGCATCATCTCTCACTCCTCCTTCCTCCTCATCTTCCTCTAACGACTCGAACGGTTTCTTTTTATCATCATCCTCATGACTTCTGATCAGAGGGGCTGTGTGTGTTGTGATCAATAATTAAACCTCACGTCCCAAGTGTGGTTTTTACCGTCCCACTGGGTCTGTGAAGTATTTCAGCTGTGACTAAAATTCTAATGGAATAAAAATCTGCGATCTAATGACGCCCTGATAATTTCAGAGGTCCAGATGTAAATAAGTTTGTTGACCTGAGGTGGTTTGTACCAGCAGAGCCTCAGTCCTTCAGATTATTGCTGCTAACGCTCGATGATCCACCTGTCAGTTTTATCCTGGCAGGTGAGCTCAACACTTTCACAGCAGCGTCAGAGCTTCTCCTCCGGCCCTCAGTGATTGGTTGTGCTACAGCTTAGCCACGACACATGACCACCATTTCAGTTTCACGAGGATGACAGCATCATTTCTTTGTGCCCACTAGTCAGGCTGCTGCAGACCCTAAAACCCTTTAACCGAGACGTTTTAAAAGCGGTTAGGAGTCGACAGAAAGAGTTCAGGTTTTGTCTCTGCTCTGTCTCTCTTCCCCGCAGACCTTCTCCGGATGTTCTTTGACTGTTTGTATGACGAGGACGTCATCTCGGAGGACGCTTTCTACAAATGGGAGTCCAGCAAAGACCCCGCCGAGCAGCACGGTAAGGGTGTGGCCCTCAAGTCCGTCACGGCCTTCTTCACCTGGCTGCGGGAGGCGGAGGAGGAGTCGGAAGACAATTGACAAGAGGGCGACGCCCGGGGACTCGACATCGTAGAAACTGCGTCTTCACAGCAGAACAAACAAACAAACGTTCAAAATGGGTGTGTGAGCAGGACGACATGTTTACGGCTGGAATTTTTTTCTGCGGTACGGTTCTGAAACATGCCGCCATTTTGAGTTTGGATTCCAACGGCGGAAGCACTAAATACCTGTATTATACATAGAAAATATTTTTGTTTTAAATTTTAACTTACTTTTCTTTTGTTACTTTTTAAGAAGAGACTTAAAGAAACATAGGTTCTGGACTCGTTAATTTATTATTTTTTTAAGGACTGCAAATATGAAAGTTATTTAACATTTGCAGAGGCTCACAAATGAGAACAAGACGACAGAATAACAATATAATGATTATAAAAATAACAAAATAATAATAATAAGAATAATGGTGAATTAAATAGCCTCCCTGGACTCCACACTGTTTGGTTTAAAACAGGGTCAAAGTTATTTTGGGATGAAGGGGAAGCAGAGATAAAAAAACAACAAAACACAAAAAAAAGGAGCTGATGCAAAGAAACTATTAACGTTGTCTGTTGTATGACGTTTGAGGTCAAAGGTTATATGTCCTGATAACCAGGAAGTGTTACCCTCAGCCTTGGCTTGCTCTGCGTTGTTAATGTACATACGCCTCATGAGAGGTTAAAGGTATGCATTCAAGAAACGACGCAAGTCAGTGCACAGAACTGTCGGCGCAAACGCAGACGAACAAAAACGGAGAAATGAGCAAAAATGCAACTTTAAAAAGCAAATGGCCGAGGTCGCTGAACATGAACATGCTTGTAATACTTGAGACCTACAGAGCAGATTAAAGCTTGTAAATACATTAAAGACAAAAACGGTATTTAAAACGGCCCGCTCTCATCATTATTGTTCGGCTGTTTGAAGATGTGTTTCTGCTTTCACTGAATGTCTTCATGCAGGTCATGAAGGATCATCTGGAGTTTCCAAAGACAAACAGCATCTCCAAGAAGAAGAAGAAGAAGAGGAGGAGCTGTGGGATTGACCACGACAGATGGAGAATCGTCAAAAATGAACCCATAATGCATCAGCATGTTGTTGTTTTTACAGTAGAGCAGCCATTTTGGAGCTTTACTGTCTGAAATGTGCTTTAATATAATGTCGCCTCCGCCCTGTTAACATCTACACTCACTGAGGATTTTAGCTGTTTCTTTGTATTTATGATCCTTTTCTTGGACAATGTGGCTCAAAATCAGCAAAATAGTTTCAGGAAAGTTTGTGTTCCTGAGACTTTACAGATTATATCTCCACAGCTTTGATATTAGAGCTGAAACCACATGTTTTCAATCAGCGAGGATGTTATTTCAAACCAGGAGAAAATGTGAATTACTAAAGTTACTAAACTGTAATATTGTCCAACAGAGGAGTGGAACTGGACTGTAAAGGGCTCGGAGTTTGTTGGCAGCTTAACCTGAAACATTAGAAACACGTGGGTAATGTAATCTAAACCGATACAACAGTTTTAATCCGAACAAAAGGCGAAATAATCCGATTAAATTAAAATACACTCAGTCACTGAAGAACAAAGATCACCAGTCTGTTCAAATAAATGATCATGGAGAAGATTTGATTAAATAAATTTGATGTTATCGATCACCCAGGTGTTCCTAATGTAATGGCCGGTCCTCCGAATGTTAATCGAGTATTTTAACGACTCTCGAAACAATCGATTAAGTCGATTGGATAAATACAGCTCCCGTTATCGGCGCTTCATGACCTGAAGGGGGTTTTCTTTTTAATTGATCTGGAGGGTTAGTTATTTAATCTTATTTGATTTAATTTTTTTAGTTTTTCATTAAGTTTGTGGTTGGAGGAAGAGTCGACAAAAATTAAACGAAAACAAAAATAAAAAAAAAAAGGTTTTTTTTATTCAACAGAAGAAACACCGAAAGTGAAGAAAGTTGCCGGTTCGATCTGCTCTGAAAGAACCTGATGAAATCCTAAAACTGTAAAAGTGTTTATCGAAGTGAGTTTGTCGAAGTTAATTTGATGTTTTTAAGTAAATTTAACAGTTTGGACGGTCGGTGACCGCGGCCGCCATGACAGTGGGAATCCTTCGACGTCCCCGTGACGCTCTGACGTCACCAACGGTCGTGAAGGGGGCGGGGCTCGTAAACAGAGAAATCTAAATAAAGGAGCGAGCAGAAATTAAACTATTTCACTTTTCCTCCGTAAATAGAAGGTAAGTGTGAATCCTGGTGTGCTGCAGAGTTGTACAGACGTGTCTTTACACGGACAGGAGTCTTCCTAAAAACACTCGTGAGGTTTTTTCTCTTCTATGAAACTGAATTTGATCTTCCTTGTGCGACGACGCCATCACTGTGTGTAAACCTGCTGACAAAATGGCGAAATTACCGAAAAATTCCTGCTGCTCATCTCCTGGTTCGTGTCGAAGTAAATTATCGGTGAAGAATGATGTGAATAAACGTGTTTATCGTCGCTAAGGTGGGCAGTTTTTGCAGAAATCCGACCTCGTTTTTCTGTTTAGAGATAATGGGCCCCAATGAATGAAGTGGGTTTGGCAGCCTCACCGTTTCTGAACACGGACCGAACACAGAAAAAGTCCCGAACCGGAGGCGGGTTTACGGTTTTATGGCATTTATGAACTATGTGAGTTTTCTCCATGCAGGCTACTCTCGTGTGATGCCGATTCGCCGAGCTCCAGCGACTCCGACCGGGGAGAAGGTCCCCTCCTCCGCCGCAGCAGAGAAAGGTTAGGCCGGGGTCTTCTTCACTGGAGGACCGTGAACGCACCATCACTGAAACACATCTGTGTGTGTGTGTGTGTGTGTGTGTGTGTGTGTGTGTGTGTGTGTGTGTGTGTGTGTGTGTGTGTGTGTGTGTTTATCATTCACAGTTTACAATGAATAAAACCTGAATAAATAAGACTCTTTAACAGAGAACAATATATACTTGGAAACAAACACGGAATAATCTTTCAGACTCACTTTTAACTTCTCTGAGACAAAACTCAAAAGTAATGTCAGGATGATAAAACCACATTAGTTCACTACTCTTTTCTATGATCAAAACAAATATATTTTATAGTTATATCCGCTTCATTGAGTCCGAGAGCATAACAGAGATTAGAAATGTCAGTTTCAAGAGTTTAAACAACAGTTGACAAAGTTTCTGATGAACAAATCCTACAGTACATGAATATAATACACCCAAAGACATAAAATAACACCTGGAACCAGCAAATTTAAATATATATATATATATATACACACCAGGCAGAATATAGACTTGCAGCTAAACGTGTCTGGCAGTAACACCATTGTCCCAAGTTTAGCTCAGTGTAGAGTAGAGATGTTTTTAAGACCCAACAGAGGAAGTTTAGATTTAGTCGATCAGCTGCAAAGTCTCACACAGGAGCTGTGATGTTGACCGTTGACTTCTTTATGATGATGATAAAGTCAGTGAACAACATTTAAAGGGAATGTTCTTCACTGAGGAAATCTGATTTGGTTGTTAAAAAGAGAAAAAAACTGTTTAATGTCTAAAAAAAGAAAAGGAAACATGAAAATTTAAGACGTGATTGGATTGAATTTTGTTACAGTTGAAATATCTCAACATAGATGTCTCCGTGTCTCCTGCCTGATGAAGTTCCTCTTTTGTTTGTGTTTTTTATTTTCCCAACATGTAACCTGAAGTTTATCTGATTATGAATATTAGGAGTTTTACAGTCGGGATGTTTTGACAGATTCTGCTTTGAGTGTTTCCCACAGCAGAGCAAACGTGACAAACTTTCCTCCGTGTAAATATTCTGTGAAATATGAATTAAATCAAATCCGCTCTCCTCTCTCAGACCCTGAAGGCTCGGAGGAGGAGTCGCCCTCTGCTGATGAGGAGCCGGCGGCATCCTCGGCTGGGACAGAAAAGGAAGCGCCGAGCACGACTGAGGCCGAGCCGACAGAGAACGGCGAGAAGAGCGAGGACGCCGAAACGGTAGAGAAGAAAGATGGAGAAGCAAGCGAGAAGAAAGAGTGAGTCTCAGCAGAGAGCGAAAGTGCCACTCTGACCCCTGCGATATTTCACTCTGATAGCACTTTTATCTGTTTATATGATCCTTGCCTCTGCTGGATAACGGCAGACTGCTCCCCTGGTGGTTGCAGTGTTGCATTTCCAAAAGATGTGATCTGTCTGAGCCGAGACCGAGACCACACACATGTTCCCCTTTTGTCCACGGTCTTGGAGGAGTTAAGGAGGAAAGGATTTTTCTGTCACTCCAACTTTGACCTTCTGTCACCAGCTGAAAACTATCACAAACTACTAGAAGGTTTCTAGAAACTTCTTTCAGCACCGGGGTGTTGTAAGAAGAGGAAAAATCCAGATGATTGAGTTCATGGGACATGTTTTCCGATTTGAACAACCCCTCATTCCTGTGATTTCTCCTCCCTTCCTTCTCCCAGACCTCCACAAAGTAAACTAACTTCTCTGTATCAAGTAGACTAGACTAGCAGGAATTAATTCAGGGTACAAATTCCTCTGGTGATCATTAAGACAGATGTTCTCAAACTTGATTTTGTCTTTTCCATCGGTGACAATCGGACACAAAGTGACAAATGCAAGGACTGCGCGGCTGGACAGTGTGCAACACACTGCTATGTTCTCCTACTAAGGTGAGGATGTGATAGAGATAAGGGTGGTACCAATCACAGTGAAATATCGCCTCAAACCACGCCACGCTCTTCACTCAACTTGTGTCTCGCTCCTTTGGTGACAGGCTGAAGGACGGCTACAAGTACAAGAAATCCAAATCCAAGAAGGTGAAACGGACCATTCCTGCATGGGCTAGCGTCACCGCCAGCAAAAAGGTCCCCGTTACAAACTTCGCAGGGAATCAAAACAAAGTGGATAATATCCTCATCGAAGCGATTTCGGTGTGTACCAACTCCGTCTCCAGTCAGGGTCATGAATTTCCGCTTTTGTCCTCCTGGTTTTGTTGGCTAATAAAAAAAACTGTCTGCTCTTTTTCAGTCCTGTAACGACAGGTCAGGCGTCTCCTTCCAGTCCGTCATGAAATTTATGCTCAAAAAATATCCAGGGATGGAGCTGGACAGGAAGAAGTTCCTCATCAAGAGAGCGATGAAGAAACATCTGGAGAAGGGAACCATCAAACAGGTGAGGAGTGGTCCTGGACCCTGACTGGACCAAAACGCTCTTCTGTTAGCAGAGGAGGAAACGAAACTCTGAACCGGACTCTCTGAGAAAACGCTGACCACGTCGACCACGACCACGTCGACCACGACCACGTTTAATTTCTACCAACACGCAAAAATTAAAGAAATCAAAGAATTTTAATCAGTTTTTGTAATAAAAAAAAAAAAACTAAAATATTGGAATAAGATTGAAATAAAGAAATCAGCTGTTATTGATTATATAAAAGTATGATGGATCGATATCCCAGCTGACGGTTCAGATGATCTCCAAACCCGCTCCACTCCTTTCTCAAACATCAGCAGGTTTTCACCGTTCCTCCTGGTCGGACGTAGATTTTATTATTTCTCTGTTTGTTCAGGTCAGAGGGTTTTTTTTTCTATTGAAGCTCCGTAGGTCAGCTGACCATAGCGTGGTCACACTGACCTTCACTGATGAAGGTTTCTGATCAGCTTTGATTATTTCCTCCATGTTTGATCGGCCATGTCTCTCTCTCTCTCTCTCTCTCTCTCTCTCTCTCTGTCTCTCTCTCTCTCTCTCTCTCTCTCTCTCTCTCTCTCTCTCTCTCTCAGCTGAAGGGCAAAGGTCTCTCGGGGACGTTCACCATCGGGAAGCAGGTCCCCGCCGCCAAGGTAAGTTTGTAAATTTATGACAGAGAGATGATCGCACATATAGATCAGCTGATCGATCTGTTTGGTAGTGATCTAGTGTCAACAGTCGCCTTCTCTCATCTCTTCCTACGAGACTGACAGCGTTTGGTTGTAATGGTCATGTCTGTAAATGGATGGTGTTTTAGAAAGCCGCTCAGAAGGCGGAGTCTCTGGGCGACGCTCTTCCTCTCATCATCACTCGGCTCTGTGAGCCCAAAGAGGCGTCCTACAACCTGATCAAGAAGTACCTGGAGCAGCACTTCCCCAGCCTCAACATCGAGAACAGGTACGCGTGCGTGTGTGTGTGCGTGCGTGTGCGCTCACCTGTCGAGTGTTTTTTAACACACCTGCTGAAGAGTCTCGAGCTGCAGTAATAATAAACTTTCACTTTCATCAGAGAGAAATTAAACCTGAATATTGAAGAAAGAAAGTTTGAGTTTAAACTGAGAAAAAAAAAAAAACTTTAATGAAGTAAAAAAAAAAAAAAAATCCTGATTCCAGTTTTTCAGTCCGGAGAAACTCTAATCAATAATCAGTGATCGATGATGTGAACACATGAACTGATATGAACACATGAACTGTTCCTCAGACCGGATGTCCTCAAAGCGGCTCTGGTGAGGGCGGTGGAGAAAGGTCAGCTGGAGCAGATCACGGGGAAAGGAGCCCGAGGAACCTTCCAGGTGAGCGTCACTCAAACTGTGGGATTGTGTTTTTATTGACAGTCGATTTCTGTAAATGATTTTAATGACGTCTGTTTTTATTGACAGTCGCTCAGGTTTCTGTTCATGTTTTTAGAGTGAAGTTTGGTGATTTCTAACTGGAGCTTTGACATTTAGCTGCAGATGAACAAAGATCTGAAGTGTGTTAGGAGCTCTGCTGTCCTTCAGTCGACCATCGTTATCGTCGTTCTGAAGTGAAAAGTTACAGGATGTAAAGTTTTTATTTCAGTCACCCACAGATCCTGTAAATCTGTTTGTCTTTTTTTAAATATTAACACCTTAAAGGTCAGTTTTCCATGTTTAACAGTTCAGCTGTGAGTCTGAATATTTGAGCTGATTCATTTCAGTCAAATAGATTAAAAATATGATATTATAAAAAAACCTCTTCTCTGGCCCACCCTGGACAGTATCCTTGCTGTTCCTAGGACTGCACTCTTCTGGACTGAGATGTTTCTGATGTTTCCTCAGAGATCTGTTGGAGACACTTCTTCTCCAGTGTGGGGGTTTCTGCCCTGATGACCACAGGCACCACTGTTTCCTTCACCTTCCAGCCTTTCTCTGTCTCCTCTTTGAGCCCTCGGTTCTTCTCTAGTTTCTCGTGTTCCTTCTGTCTGATGTTGGTATCGCTTGGGATGGTGACATCTACCACAACAGCTTTACTCTTCTGTTTGTTTACGATTACGATCCCCGGTTGGTTGGCCGTAACAATTTCGTCGGTCTGTATCTGGGAGTCCCACAGGATCTTGGCTCGGTCGTTCTCCATCACCTTGGGAGGTTCTTCCCATTTTGACCTCGGGGTTCCAGTCCAGATTCTGCTCAGATGTTCTTGTACACTTTACCGGGTACTTGGTTTTGGCGTTCCATGTTTGCTTTTCCTGCCAGCGTCTTACATCCTGCTGTTAGGTGTTGGACTGTTCCAGGGCCCTCTTTGCTCAGCCTGCTCCTGGGATCTTGCCCGGTATGGTAGATCTGGATCTCTATTGCTCTGGTGCTCAAGGCCTGTTCTTGTGCCGCCATGATGAGGTTCCTCTGAGCTGTCCGTCAGTCCAGCCCTCTCCAGCCATTGGTCGGATTTGCTCATATCAGCCACTTCAGCTATCTGCCGGTGGTACATCCCATGATGGTTCCTCCGGTTCTGTACTGTCTGAGACACTCACTAAGAGCTCCATCTTCCTGACGTAGTCATGGAGCTTGGATGTTTCATCTTGGATAGTAGCGCTGATGCTCACTTATCCTCTGTCTCCTTCTTTGCGCTCAGTGTACAGCCTCTGGATACTGGACTTAGGGTGGAACCCCCCGTGCATGATGAGCAACATCTGAGTTTTAACATCTGTGGCCTGAATTTCCTCCTTTGGCCAGTTTATTATTCCATCTGGGTATCTGATCACTGGCTGGGCAGAGCTGCCATTGAGCCGACTCTGTAGGACCTGCTTACTCACTTCAGGTACTTGGCCGTTGCTGTAGTCCTTGTGGCCTCTTCATGGTTGCCATTTGCCTGTGGTATGCCAAGGTCTTTGTAGCTCTCCTCCACATGTCCGTGTCGATTCTCAATCATCCAGGTCATGGTTTTCTTGAAGACTCCAAAATCAGGCAACTGGACCGTGTAGAGTTGAGAAGACGTTTCGCCTCCTATCCAAGAAGCTTCTTCAGTTCTAAGAACTCCACATCCGCTACTCCGCCCTCTGGGAGTGTAGCGCCCTCTGTAAGGATTACCTGTCCTCTTTTCATCACCACTCGGCCACACTTCTCCAGTCTGAACGACACTCCGATGTTCCTGCTGTAGATCCTGGTGGTGTGGATCAGTGAGTCGATGTCATCTGTGTTTTGTATCTCCTCAGTCTCCAGTTGTGATAGCAGCTGCAGTTTATGGATGTTTGAACACTGAGCTACTGTTGACTGTGGTACCGAAGCCCAGTTGTCATCGCAATGCCCTGGTTCCTCAGCATGTGACCCTGTGCAGCCCTGTGGGGGGGTCTTTTTTGTCCCACCTGCTCTCACTAGCTCCCCCTGCTGCTGGATCAGTCCATGGACACAGACCGCAGGAACAGAGAGTTCTGAGGTTCAGATGAACCCGCTAAGTTTGACCGTTCAGGACTCGGACTAAGACCAGCAGGCCTGACCCTCATCCTCTCCCTGAAACCAGAGTCCATGACTTTAATGTCCTCTGTCCATCACAGCTCAAGAGAACTGGAAACCAGGTCCTACTGAAGGGCGGCGCCGTGGAGGACGCCATCACAGCCGCCATCACAGCCATGAACGAGCCCAAAACCTGCAGCACCACCACCCTCAAAAGATATCTAGTCGACGCCAACAAGGACAGGAAGGAGTATCAGCTAGGTAACACGCACACGCACACACACACACACACACACACACACACACACACTCTCCTCCTCAGTCTAAGACGTTAGACCTGGTTCCAGGTGGACTGAGACTAAACTTTAGATTCCAGTCTTTACAGAAAACTTGTGTCTTTAGAGGTCCTGGTTTGTGCGTCTCTGCTCCGACTTTATTTGATTCCTGGTGTTTCATGAACATAGAAACTCTCTGTCTGATAAAAGGTTCGTGTGTCACCAACAAGACCACTAACAGGTCTGCTCTGTTCCCTCAGTGAACAGTCTGAGGAGGACCCTGTCCAAGTGTAAAGTCCTGGGCTGGATGGAACAGATCACGGGTCACGGTTTCACAGGGACCTACCAGCTGTCGTTTCCTTTCTACCCGAGGTATTTCTGCGTTTGTTTATAATCATGGACGAGACGTTTCTGTCCAAAGTTCTGGTATCTAACCTGTCCTTGTCTCTGACTCCAGCCCCACCATCCTGTACCCGGACAAGTTCAAAGAACCCGTCAAGAAAAACTCTCAGCCTGCGACCAAACGGAGGCGGACGGCCGACTCCTCTGATGAGGAGGAGGAGTCAGAAGAAGAAGAGGAAGAGGAGGAGGAGTCTGAAGATGAAGCCCCCGCCCGTAAGAGGTGGGTCTCCGTCCTGAACTAAAGTGGAAACTCAGCCTGAATGTTCCCGCCTCTCTGAGTGAGCCCTGAATGCTGATTGGTTTAGATTCAGTCAGCTGGGCCTTCAAAGAAACGACCTTTACCTCCAGGTGGCGTGTGAACATGTGGTCCCTCCTCCTGACGTTAAAGGTTTCTTCTTTACATTTCATTTTAGGAAAGTCCAGAAGAGACCTCCACCCAAAGCTCGCCGTCCTCCACCGGCCAAGAAATCTCGAAGTACGAGTCAGTCTAAAGCGAAAGGCCGAGGACGCCCCGTCGCCAAGAAGTCTCCGGCCAAGAAGGCGGCGCCCTCAGGCAAGAAACGGGGCAGACCATCAGCTGCTAAAAAAGAACCCACGCCATCTAAAGCTACGCCCGTAAAGAAAGGCGCTCCCGCAAAAAAACCCAAAACACCATCAGTGAAAAAACTCGCCAAACGAGGCGCAACGCGGCCTTCATACCGAGAGTCCTCCCCTGATGAGGAGGAGGTCCCAAAGGAGACGCCAAAGGCCGGGTCCAAGCGCTCCAAGTCTGAGGACGCCAGCGAAGCGCCTGCAGCTAAAAAAACAGCGACCAAAGGGGGGCGATCCGGGCCTGCAGAGTCCTCGCCGAAGTCCCCCAAGAAGGCGGCGAGGGGGAGCAAGCAGACCGGACGCAAGTCCAAGAGAGGGAAATAATGAGCCCAGGAGGGGGCGCCGTCATGAACTGGGCCGCTTAGTTTCAGAGCTCTCTTTAGCTCTCTTTAGCTCTCTCTCTCTCTCTCTCTCTCTCTCTCTCTCTCTCTCTCTCTCTCTCTCTCTCTCCCCCCCCCCCTCTCTCTCTCTCTTTCGATCAGTTCTCCCTCTTTTTAACGGGGCAGTAGTTTTTTTATTTCGATCGTAGAATAAGAAGAAAGTTCTCCTTCAGTTCAGTCGAGTGTTCATGGAGAGGTCGTGAAGTTCGCCGTGTGTAGAGGAAGTTAGTGTTTCCATGACAACAGCTGCCAGGAAAGGGAAAGTCTAGCTAATCTGACCACCTGTAACTAGAGCCGTGTAGTTCCTTCAGTTTTTATTTCACTCTGTTCCTCTGAGAGGAAATGTTCCTCAAACCAAACCACGTTATTAAACGTTTGAAGGTTTTCAGTTCAAAGGTTCTTAAACTGTTCATGAATAAAATGAACATTTTATTAAATCGAATCTCCGGGTTGGTCTTCAGTATGACGATGATACTGAAGACCTTTAATCTGGATATTGATGCGTATTTGTTCACTTCTGATTATAATTCAAAGACTGATTTGTTTATTTCAACTCAAATCTGCCCCTTTAAAAGGAAAGGCTGCAGGTAAGAAATAGTTCACCTTAAATCCGTCAGTATTCATGAAAAATAACCAGTCATATTGGGAAAAGTGTCTTTTTTTAGATAACGTGTGTGTAAACAGAATTATACTTCCATTGATTTTATTGCTTCACAGCTGTAACTCAGTACCAAACTGTAAGAAATGTGTGTCGTGAAAAAGAAAAAGGAGGATAATAGCTCATACATACCTTGCATGCATGTATCCCTTGTGTTGTTAAGCTTTTTTTCCAAGTCATTAATAAAATGGCTATATTTGTACTTGGTCTGTGTTACTTTTATTACATTTAAGGCACATTTACTGTCAGTCACACAGCAGCTTTAACCCTAAAGTAACTCCACATTAGTTTCTCTAGTGAGGCTGAGATGGAGGAGCTGACTCAGTCTTACTGGTGAAATGAAACGTACTGAAGTTTTATCGGTGTGAATTCAATAATAATGGAAGAAGAAAGGCTTTTTTCTGTAAATATGAAGAAGTGGAGTTTTGCCATATTTCATTGGAGAAACGCTGATGAACGTAAACAGGTCAGTAGACTTAAAAATTCACACTTCATATTCAAAACTAAAGATGATTCTTATTCACAACATGCCAGCTTAATATCAGCCGACTCTGCAAGGTCATGAATATTAGATTTGATTGAAATTATATCATTATGTGAGTAAAGGAGAAAATGGAGACTGGACTGTGGTATAAATGTACATTAAAGTTTTTCTTTTTTATATATATCTATATACATATATACACTCACCGGCCACTTTATTAGGTACACCTGTCCAACTGCTCGTTAACACTTAATTTCTAATCAGCCAATCACATGGCGGCAACTTAGTGCATTTAGGCATGTAGACATGGTCAAGACAATCTCCTGCAGTTCAAACCGAGCATCAGTATGGGGAAGAAAGGTGATTTGAGTGACTTTGAACGTGGCATGGTTGTTGGTGCCAGAAGGGCTGGTCTGAGTATTTCAGAAACTGCTGATCTACTGGGATTTTCACGCACAACCATCTCTAGGGTTTACAGAGAATGGTCCGAAAAAGAAAAAATATCCAGTGAGCGGCAGTTCTGTGGGCGGAAATGCCTTGTTGATGCCAGAGGTCAGAGGAGAATGGCCAGACTGGTTCGAGCTGATAGAAAGGCAACAGTGACTCAAATAACCACCCGTTACAACCAAGGTAGGCAGAAGAGCATCTCTGAACGCACAGTACGTCGAACTTTGAGGCAGATGGGCTACAGCAGCAGAAGACCACGCCGGGTGCCACTCCTTTCAGCTAAGAACAGGAAACTGAGGCTACAATTTGCACAAGCTCATCGAAATTGGACAATAGAAGATTGGAAAAACGTTGCCTGGTCTGATGAGTCTCGATTTCTGCTGCGACATTCGGATGGTAGGGTCAGAATTTGGCGTCAACAACATGAAAGCATGGATCCATCCTGCCTCGTATCAACGGTTCAGGCTGGTGGTGGTGGTGTCATGGTGTGGGGAATATTTTCTTGGCACTCTTTGGGCCCCTTGGTACCAATTGAGCATCGTTGCAACGCCACAGCCTACCTGAGTATTGTTGCTGACCATGTCCATCCCTTTATGACCACAATGTACCCAACTTCTGATGGCTACTTTCAGCAGGATAATGCGCCATGTCATAAAGCTGGAATCATCTCAGACTGGTTTCTTGAACATGACAATGAGTTCACTGTACTTAAATGGCCTCCACAGTCACCAGATCTCAATCCAATAGAGCATCTTTGGGATGTGGTGGAACGGGAGATTCGCATCATGGATGTGCAGCCGACAAATCTGCGGCAACTGTGTGATGCCATCATGTCAATATGGACCAAGCTCTCTGAGGAATGCTTCCAGCACCTTGTTGAATCTATGCCACGAAGAATTGAGGCAGTTCTGAAGGCAAAAAGGGGTCCAACCCGTTACTAGCATGGTGTACCTAATAAAGTGGCCGGTGAGTGTATATATATATATATATAATTTTTTTTTTTTTGTCTGACCAGACCGTAGGTCTGTGCGCTGCACTTGAGCCGCCGATGTTCTACACCTGGACCTGCTCTGATGTTACTTGAGCCCGCTGGTGCTTCTGCAAACTTTGCCACAATGGCACCTCATGGCACATTCCTCTCTGGTCAGTGTTGATTGCTTTAGCTTTTGTTGTCATATTTCTTGTCGGGCTGATACCGGTGTGTCCGTCCCTTTGAGTCCCCCCCCCTCCCTCTCAGGAGACTCTGGGTTGTCATCTAGTCTTTCCTAGATGCCACTGGCGGTCCATAGATAGTTAGTTACATACACTTTTGGTGCTTACCTCAGCTACCTTTGCCGGTAGCTGTAGCTTTTTGGCCAGGAGCAGGTCACATCAGGTGGTCCACAACCATCACTGAGTGTTTCGGCAGTAAGTGGCCAAGCTCACTGGCCTCCAGCCTTCCTCCTCTCGCTTGCTCCATATCCAACATGAGGCACGTTCCGCCTCCTCCCCCATCCTGGGAGCAGCTTGCTTCTTGTTCAACTCATCCAGGCCTAGAGCTGACATCAAACGCCAAGCTGACTTAGCTGGGAAGCCCCTGCACCCAATCTCCACCAGGAACAACCATGCCTGCCAGCATGGTTGACCACAGCACAATGTCTGGCTTGAGGGTTGTTTGGACCCCCTCCGGGAACTGCAGTCTCCTTCCCACATCGACCCTCATCTCCGAGAAACTGGCGGTTTGGAGAATGTTGGTCTTTCTTCTGGTGGTCGGGTAGGCCTAGTCCCTTCCTTGAGGAAGGTGATTGCTCTTGCTGCTGTTGTGTCCGCTGACCTCTTCTTGAATCCCTCTGAGAGGAGGACTCTATCATGACGCCATCTATACCACCGCCCTTGGGTTCAAGCTGTTTTGCACCCCGACAGTATGTGAGCCAAAGTCCCCCTCTGGCTGCAGAGCTTGCAGAGTGGATCCTCTCTCAGTCCCCATGTGTGCAGATGTGATGGTGAAGGTCAGGTATCGTACACGGACCTCAAGAGGAAGGAGATACGGTACGGTTCCAGTCCCCACAGTTCTTTCCTTTGAGACCTTGCACTTGGGTAAATCCCATTTTGTCCAAGCTCCCTGAGAACCTTGTTCCACGGCCCTGGCTGTCCACTTCTCCGCCTTGCTCCGGACCTCCGCCTGCACCATGTCTCGTCTGGTTCTTGCATTCCCACCTCCCCACCTTTGGAAATGAACACAGCCCAGGCCCTGCCGGTGGATGCGTTGGTTGCCGATGATGTCTCGAGACTTTGTGTGTGTTTGTTAATCCTCGGGAGGCTGAGCCAACAGTCCCGGACTGAACATTTTCATTTTTGCTCTTCTTTATTTAATAATCGGACTTTTCTCCTTTACAGCCTTTTTTATTTTAAGTGTAAGACTTTAAAGTTCAGATCTACAACAGCCTGAGAATTCAGCAGGTGAGGTTTCACAATCAGCAGGAATGTGAGGGAGAGAGGGAGGGAGAGAGAGAGAGGGAGGGAGAGGGAGAGGAAGGGAGGGAGAGAGACAGAGAGGGGGAGAGAGAGACAGAGGGGGGAGGAAGAGAGAGAGAGAGGGAGAGAGAGGGGGTATGTGTGTGATTTAGCGCCTTATCTTCCGCCCAGTTTCTTCATATCCCAACAGGAAAAGTGTTAAAGTGAACCAGGTCTCCTCCTCCTCCTCTTCTTCTCCTCTTCTCCTCCTCCTCCTCCTCCTCTCTCTCCGGAGGTCCTCCTTCCTTCCTCCCTCCCTCCAGCCCCGCCTTGGGCCCGAAGCAGCCGCGACACCTGGACCCCGGAGCGGCGGCAGGTAAAGGTGAGAGGGGACCTGAGTGTCAGACACGCCGTGGAAAGGAGACCGAGTGTGGGCAGAGTGGGAGTCCGTGTTCGTGGAGATTTCTCGACGCTGAAAAGTGAGTAAACGTGATTTTTTTTTACCGACCTTTGGACGGAGTTATCTGCGCCGCTGCGGCGCATCGTTGGCGGAAACGGAGTGAAAGTTGAACCCGCGGAGGTTTGACATCTTTGCTGTTTTTATCGGGAAGAGACAGAAACGAATCCGAACTTTGACGTGAATCAGCGGCGACTTTTCGGCGCATTTCACGGCGCAGAACAGAAACGTGAGAAAAGCGCAGAGAAATATCAGAACAGCAACAAACTAAAGAGTCAGAAACACAGCAGACTGTAATCCAACAAGATCTCAACAACACGGACAGATCCGTCTGTGAGAGTGAAGCTCCCATTTCTTCAATCTTAACGAGCTTTTCCAGGTTTTACGGTAATTTTATAGTTTTTATCGTCCTGTTTTATGTTTAACAGACAGAAAAAAAACAACATGGGAGAAGCACCAACCAGAGAGGACAGTTCAGTCATCAGCAGATCAGCAGAGGTGAGTTTAGAAGTTTTACTTTAATTCACTGAAGTTTGTGTTTTTACTTTAATTCACTGAAGTTTGTGTTTTTACTTTAATTTACTGAAGTTTGTGTTTTTACTTTAATTCACTGAGGTCTGTGTTTTTACTGTAATTCACTGAAGTTTGTGTTTTTACTTTAATTCACTGAAGTTTGTGTTTTTACTTTAATTCACTGAAGTTTGTGTTTTTACTTTAATTCACTGAAGTTTGTGTTTTTACTTTAATTCACTGAAGTTTGTGTTTTTACTGTAATTCACTGAAGTTTGTGTTTTTACTGTAATTCACTGAAGTTTGTGTTTTTACTTTAATTCACTGAAGTTTGTGTTTTTACTGTAATTCACTGAGGTCTGTGTGTTTCTCTGTGTTTCTGTGTTTCCTCTGAAGTATGTGGGCTCGTTTCCTGTGGATGATCGGTGTTTGGACGAGCAGATGGAGCAGCTCCACACTCAGCTGAAGGCCCTCAGAGTAAGTTCTGAGCTTCATGAGTCTTCTCTGCTCCTAATCCAAACTTCACACCACTATTTTCTTTTATCAGACGTGCAAACGGAGGAGACCTGTGTCCATCAGATTCTCCATCAAGGGGGTGAAAATGTACGATGAGGATGAAACTGTAAGTCTGAAGTTTTTATAATATTTAATTTAAAAAAAAAGGGAAGAAGTCGTCTTACCTTTCTGGTCCACAGACGCTCCTGATGGCTCACGCTCTGCGGAGAGTCTCTCTGTCCACCGCCCGACCCTCTGATGCCCAGTTCGCCTTTGTCTCCCACAACCCAGGAAGTCCAGACGCCCAGCTGTACTGCCACGTCTTTAAAGCAAGGCACGCCAGAGCGGTAGGAGGGATTTCATAGCTCATTATAAAACGACATAAAAACGTATAAAAAGAGGTTTATATCTGTGAGAGTGGGTCCTCTCCCACTGAGATTTATTCCACAGCAAACAAACAAGAAGATGTTTGTGTTTTGAAGAGGCAGAAAAAAAAAGTTCCAGTTTAAAAACGTCGGAGAAGCAGAACCGAGACAAATGAAGGACCAAACTCACAGGAGCTTCTTGTCCTCAAAGGCCACCGTCACCGGGGGGGCGGAGCCTCTTAATGTAGAAACTGACTCCTGATACCTCTGAACACTCCTGTAATCGATTTCTTCAATAACTGTTAAAACCATAAATGTAGTTTTTTTTTCACTTTGTTAAAATAACTGTGAGTCCGAACGACGTGATCACACCTTGTTGATAAATCCACCTGCCTGTGATTGTTTTTAATCGAACCGTAAACCTGAATAAAAATACAGCTTTTGTAGAGAGACGATGGTTCGGTGTATCAGCTGAGAAACAGCAGTTCAGCTTTTCTACTCCTCTGATTCTTGTCCCGTTTTGTCCTGAAGGCCCAGTTCCTGAACCTGGTACTCTGCCGCTGTTTCCAGTTGTCTTACCTGGAGAAGCACCCGGAGGAGGCGCAGGAAGACTCGGTCGGCTCTCTGCCTCGTCGGAACCCCTCCCTGCTCAACCACGGCTTCCCTCTCAGTGTCAGCGCCCTGGTGTCTTTCAGGAGAGCACCTTTCAGGGGCTTCTTACCCGGGACTAAGGTGTGGAGTTGACCAAACTTGAACCTTGGTGTTTCCTCTTCCCCTCTTCTTAGTTCAACACTTTTTCTTTTCTGACCAGCAGAAAACTCAAAAATCCTCCGATGATCAGCTCAGCAGCCAAGATGAAGTCTTCCCCACCTCCTCTCCCTCTCTGGTGCGCAAGAAGGCCATCCGCAACAAAGTGCTGCGCTCTGGAGCTTATCGCTCCTTCACTTTCACGCCGCTCAAACAGCGAAACGTTCAGGAGCGGCTGAGCGCGACACAAGGTGGGCGGAGCGTTCACAGAGCGCTTTCAAAGGTCAAAGAGCTGATTAGGTAAAACAAACCCGTTCAGTGTTGGGCCGCCGCTGCTCACCGTCTGTCGTGGTGTCAGGAGGTCGTTTGGTCATTCTTGAGGGGTGATTTACAACAGTGGTGTCACGTGTTTCTTTTGTTTTTGTAGAAGTTTGGTATCACGGGTTATTTCATCTCAGAGGTTCAGCTGTACTTCATCGTCCATTTCTCTCTCCATCACGGGTTATAAATCTGCACTTTTGGACCTCTCCGACTGTTTTATCTGAAAATGTGTCTTCTTGATTTTGCAAAAGAAAAGGATCGAGACACGAAGTCCAAAAGGAGATCCCGGGCTCCCAGCTTGGCCGAAACAGAAGAAGCACTGGCTCAGGCGGTGTGGTGTTGGGCCGGTATCTCAACGTGAGACTCACAGATACGTTTAACGTCTTCATCTCTGTCATTTCTGAATCTCTTTTTATTCTTATTGTCTTAAATGTTCTTGACTTCAGTGACAGCAGTTATTCTCTGCTGGCCGATGACGTCCTGGGCTCGTACCTCCTCTGTCCACATCCCAAGAAATCCAAATGTGGATCTCTGATCATTCGATTCCCCTCTGGCCTGATCACCCACCTCATAGAAAACACTCGCAAAGGGAAATTTGTGCTGGAGGTAACTGTTGGTGGTGGTGGAGGGTTAGATATTGATCACTGTCAGCAGCAGGTTAATATTTACATCAACAGAAAAGTGGGTTTGACTTGTTCTCCAGTAGAAATGTGTTTCTTCACTCACTTCTGAATCTGTTTGGTTTGATTTTGTTGCAGAAATTTAAGACTGAGTTCAGTTCGTTGGCAGAACTGATCGAACACTACACCGAAGATCAGGGGGAGCTGCCGTGTCTGCTGAGCTGTGCCCGAGTGAACCACTGCTACGAGTGGGAGGAAAACACCGTCCAACAGACGGCCGTGAAGCCCAACAAGAGCCTGAACAAAACCAAGGCTAAAAGTACCCACAGGAGGGAGTGGGTTTAACTCCCACAGGAGGGAGTGGGTTTAACGCCCACAGGAGGGAGTGGGTTTAACTCCCACAGGAGGGAGTGGGTTTAACTCCCACAGGAGGGAGAGGGTTTAACTCCCACAGGAGGGAGTGGGTTTAACTCCCACAGGAGGGAGTGGGTTTAACTCCCACAGGAGGGAGAGGGAGTGGGTTTAACTCCCACAGGAGGGAGAGGGAGTGGGTTTAACTCCCACAGGAGGGAGTGGGTTTAACGCCCACAGGGGGGAGTGGGTTTAACTCCCACAGGAGGGAGTGGGTTTAACTCCCACAGGGGAACCGCCAACAACAGAGTGACCCTTTTTTTTCTCTCGCACATTTAATCCTTATTTTCTGATCAGGTGGAGTTTCGGCCCCTCAGATTAATAGTAAAAGACACTGAAAACAGTTTTGGCACTAATTGTAAATGTTTTGTATCGGGAACTTATTGATCTTATTGATATCTGATTGAACGTTTTGTTTTTGCTGCTTTTATAATTCAAAAGTATTTAATAGTCTATTTTTATTCATGCCTTTAAGTTTATCCATCTTCACATCAGGTGCAACAACCCTGAAGTTGAGAGTTCAGGACGTTGCACCTGATGTGAAAATAAAGACCCCCCCCCCTTTTTTTAAACCTTTGCATTATTAAAAATCTGCTTTAGTGTATTTACTCCAACTTTTCATTTGTATTTAATAATACTCTGTGTGTCGTGGACGTGGCTGTGATTTATTCTTGTCAAGTTTTTATCTCTCGTCTCCTCGTCTGTTCGGTCTTTAACGTCCCGACCTGTAAAAAGGGAAGAACTTTGACTCTGAAGGTCGTGACTAACCTTTTGATACTTTCAGTTTTCTGGGAATGTTGTTTTTATTTTTTCCTCTTTTTTAAAATATACCTGAAGTCGACTGTCGTTGGAGATCAGGTCTGACTTTGTCGTATAAGTTTGTCTGTTTTTCACTTTGCGTTTCTTATTGAAGCACTATTAAACGCACACAAGTGCAGTCTCATTTTAACCTTTATTCTGCCTGATTATTTTATGACTCTACACAGCAAAACGGTAAAACAACGTTGATAATGAAGTCAGTAATTTGGTTAATAGTTTATTAAATGAAATGTCGACTACAGAGTCCAAATCAAAGCCTTCAGTTTTCAGTGTTTGTTCAAACTTAATTATCTGTTTTAGTCTCAGATATTTAACATGAAACTAACATCCCAACTTCAAATTTTAATTAAAAAAGGAGGAAAAACGTCTTTGTGGTTCTTTTAAACTCTGACTGATTAGAAAAGTTTTAATAAAAGGTTTAAAAGTTTCAGATTTGTGGTGATTTTAAACTGAAATATTAAAATATCAAATGACATTCAGATGATCTAAAAGTCTGAGGAAACATTAATTTACTAAAAACAGGAAAATCTCGTCATTTTACGTCTAAAAAGAGATTTTTGTCAATAATTAAAATTCATTCAAAACTTTCACCTGCTAAAACATTTTCACAGATTTACACTCTTATTTATTTTTAACGCGCTCACTGCGAACTTTGACCTCACCCGATGCCTCGCCTCACTGCCCAGGATGATGCGTCAGGACCGCCGCCATCTTGGAGAGGTCACTGGTTTCCCGTCGGTCAAAGTTTCTCTGTAATTTACCTGAAAACAATAAACAGTGTTTGTTTACAGTCAAAACCTCGGAACCTCTCCAAGATGGCGGCAGTGGTATCTAGTGTTGATATATCTATGGTGTGGCCGTTACCTTTAACGGTTGTATACGGTTGCTAGGCAACGTCGAAACGCCATGGGACTGAGAGTCGGACGGCTGAGGACCTGCTGTGAGGAGAAGAACCTCCGTGTGGAAACATCTCCATCTCTATACTTCGGTTTTTAAAACAGATATTTGACCTCCTGTCAGTCAGTGAGTCAGTGGGCGGAGCTCTGTGTCTGTTTGACCATGAAGGTGAGTAGATGAGGACGCGGTCAGATCTGTACAAACAGTATTTACACAGTTTCCTGTTTCCTCTCAGTGTTTCCTCCTGGTCTGACCTCGTGGAGTCATGGGGTCCGAGTCGGTGAGGGTGGTGGTCCGGTGTCGACCTCTGAATGACAGGGAGAAGGCTCTCTGCTCTAAGATGGTCGTGTTCATGGACCTTCACCGCTGTCAGTGCTTCATTGAGAAACCAGGAGCTGTGGATGAACCCCCCAAACAGTTCACCTTCGATGGGACCTACTTCACCGACCAAAGCACAGAGCAGATGTACAACGAGGTGGCCTACCCTCTGGTGGAGGTCAGCTCCTTCAATCATCTCTGTTTCTGTTTCCTGTGACTTTAATGTGTGGAGGCGACACGATTACATAAGGAGGAGCTCTGTGGTCACTGGACACCAGCAGCAGCAGCAGCAGCTCAGACCTTATCGACCTCATGATTTACTCATCAGTCACTTTAAAGCTCAGCAGCTTCATGGAAACAAGATCTCCTCTCATGGTTTTTCTTCATGTTTCTGTAGGGAACGACTGAAGGATACAACGGCACCATCTTCGCCTACGGACAAACAGGAAGTGGGAAATCTTTCACCATGCAGGGGGTGTCAGACCCTGCAGCTCAGAGGGGAGTTATTCCACGGTCGTTTGAGCACATATTTGAGAGTATCCAGGTACGTCAGGGCGCCACGTTCTTCAGCGTTCTTAAAAACACACCCCCTCTTCACTTCTGTGGTCGACTTTCTGTCCTGTTTTTATATACACAGGTGATTCATCTGTATCATTATTATTATTATTATCATTATTATTGTTGTTGTTGTTGTTGTTGTTGTTGTTACGGTGTGTTTTTGTGGGCGAGCTAGTGTGCAGAAAATACAAAGTTCCTGGTGAGGGCCTCCTATCTTGAGATATACAACGAAGAAATCCGAGACCTTTTGGGAAGTGACACCAAACAGAGATTGGAGGTATGTGAACTTTCATTTGGAGTTCAAACACCATCATCATCTCTGTAAATCAGAGATTTTTGAGCTGATATTTGACAGTAACAGATATCACAGAGTAAGCGTATAAATGATCTGAAACTTACCTGAAAATGATCAAAACTCTGTGGATACTGAGCAGCTGTCTCCATCTGTAGAACATCTCAGATCTTTCTCACTTTCCTGTCATCTACAGTTTTCCTCTCACAGATCAGCCCTGAAAATCTCACTTTAGTCGAGTTTCATTTCCGGTTTCAGTGTGAAAACATGAGAGGCCAAAATAATCGGTCTTCAGTCAGTATGAAACCTGTTCCTCTGATTGTTCGTCCGCTCTAAATGAAGCTCAAACCAAAGTTTCCATGGCGACCTGGAACCACCCCAGAGTTGGACTCCTAGAGTCTTTCTAACGAGCTGATCTGAGTTTGATAAATGTTTCAGCTGAAGGAACATCCGGAGCGTGGCGTGTATGTTCGAGACCTCTCCATGCACACGGTGAGCAGCGTTGGCGAGTGCGAGAGGATCATCGAGGCGGGCTGGAGGAACCGGGCCGTGGGCTACACCCTGATGAACAAAGACTCCTCCCGCTCACACTCCATCTTCACCATCCACCTGGAGATCTGCAGCACTGGTGAAAACACACACTTAGACACACACACACACACACACACACACACACACACACACACACACACACACACACACACACACACACCTAAAACAAGATGAGACATAACTCCGGTCTGTTGGATTAAAGATTGCAGATCACAAAAATGTACCTGAATAATCCCGTGCATGTCGAAACACACGACTCTATAAGGACTCATTAAAGTGCAGCTCCACCTCCTAACACCATCATGATGTTCCTCTGTGAAGATGTTGGTCCATCATGTTCCTCTGTGAAGATGTTGGTCCATCATGTTCCTCTGTGATGATGTTGGTCCATCATGTTCCTCTGTGATGATGTTGGTCCATCATGTTCCTCTGTGATGATGAAGATGTTGGTCCATCATGTTCCTCCGTGATGATGTTGGTCCATCATGTTCCTCTGTGAAGATGTTGGTCCATCATGTTCCTCTGTGATGATGTTGGTTCATCATGTTCCTCTGTGATGATGTTGGTCCATCATGTTCCTCTGTGATGATGAAGATGTTGGTCCATCATGTTCCTCTGTGAAGGTGTTGGTCCATCATGTTCCTCTGTGATGATGTTGGTCCATCATGTTCCTCTGTGATGATGAAGATGTTGGTCCATCATGTTCCTCTGTGATGATGAAGATGTTGGTCCATCATGTTCCTCTGTGATGATGATGATGTTGGTCCATCATGTTCCTCTGTGATGATGTTGGTCCATCATGTTCCTCTGTGATGATGTTGGTCCATCATGTTACTCTGTGATGATGAAGATGTTGGTCCATCATGTTCCTCTGTGAAGATGTTGGTCCATCATGTTCCTCTGTGAAGGTGTTGGTCCATCATGTTCCTCTGTGAAGATGTTGGTCCATCATGTTCCTCTGTGATGATGTTGGTCCATCATGTTCCTCTGTGAAGATGTTGGTCCATCATGTTCCTCTGTGATGATAAAGATGTTGGTCCATCATGTTCCTCTGTGATGATGTTGGTCCATCATGTTCCTCTGTGAAGATGTTGGTCCATCATGTTCCTCTGTGATGATGAAGATGTTGGTCCATCATGTTCCTCTGTGAAGATGTTGGTCCATCATGTTCCTCTGTGATGATGTTGGTCCATCATGTTCCTCTGTGAAGATGTTGGTCCATCATGTTCCTCTGTGAAGATGTTGGTCCATCATGTTCCTCTGTGATGATGTTGGTCCATCATGTTCCTCTGTGAAGGTGTTGGTCCATCATGTTCCTCTGTGATGATGTTGGTCCATCATGTTCCTCTGTGAAGATGTTGGTCCATCATGTTCCTCTGTGATGATGTTGGTCCATCATGTTCCTCCGTGATGATGTTGGTCCATCATGTTCCTCTGTGAAGATGTTGGTCCATCATGTTCCTCTGTGATGATGTTGGTCCACGTTCCCAGATGCAGCAGGTCAGGATCACCTTCGAGCCGGGAAACTCAACCTTGTGGACCTGGCAGGAAGTGAGCGTCAGTCTAAAACCGGAGCTACAGGTGAGCGACTCCGCGAGGCCACCAAGATCAACCTGTCCCTCTCGGCGCTGGGGAACGTCATCTCGGCGCTCGTGGACGGACGCTCCAAATACGTCCCGTACCGAGACTCGAAGCTGACCCGGCTGCTGCAGGACTCTCTGGGAGGAAACACCCGAACCCTGATGATCGCCTGTCTGTCACCTGCTGACAACAACTACGAGGAGAGCCTGAGCACGCTACGCTACGCTAACCGGGCCAAGAGCATCCAGAACCGACCCCGGATCAACGAGGACCCAAAGGACGCTCTGCTCAGAGAGTACCAGGAGGAGATCAAGAAGCTGAGGGCCCTCGTCTCAGGACAGCTGGGCCCCGCCCACCTCACAGGTAAGAGAAGAAGAAAAGATCGATTTTTGGTCCAGAGATGAGAAGAAACATTTACGAGTTTGGAGCCTTAAAACAAACACTCAGACGTTTTTATTGATCATCTTGTTGTTTGAATTTAATATAAAATAAAATAAAATAAAATAAAAAAACAACTGCTTTTCATTTATTATTATTATTCTTATTATTTATTGATTATTAATTACTCTTTTTTATTATTATTGATTATTCTTTATTCTTTTATCATTAATTATTATTGATTATTGATTTATCATGCAGATCTTCTGTCTGGTGGGTCGTATGAGAAATCCTCTGCAGCTCCTCTCAGACCTCAGTCCATCACCACAGAAGCAGAGAAGGAGAAGATTAAAGCGGTAACTCCTGACCGTTCCCACACCCATAAACCACCTCACATTCCTCCATCAGCTGCTCTGGGACCGGTCTGCTGGGACCGGTCTGCTGGGACCAGTCTGCTGGGACCGGTCTGCTGATTTACTGCTCTGTAATCTGGTCTCTCTGCAGGACTACGAGGACAGGCTGGCTAAACTCCAGGCGGAGTACGAGGCGGAGCAGGAGTCGAAGGTCAAGCTGCAGGAGGACATCGCTGCTCTGCGCTCCTCTTATGAATCCAAACTGGAGAAGATCTCAGCCAGCAGGGGGCGCTCTGGACTCAAGAATGGAAAACCAGAGCAATGTGAGGACTTGTTTTAGGAGTTTGGTCCAACTGTTTCCCAGAGGGATGTTGTAAATGACTGTGCAATAACAAGGCTCCTGATTGGCTCATTTCCAGCTTCTGTCACACCATTGGCTGAAGAAAAGTTCAGCTTCAACCGAGACGTCAGAGACGGTCGCAGATCCTCAGGAGAGACTGACCCTGACGAGGTTTTTATTTTCACCTCCTTTCAAAGTGTCAGTGATAATAATAATAATAATAATAGATTTTATTTGTAACGCACTTTAAAAACAAATCTCAAAGTGAGTCAGTGAGTCCAAAATACACACTTTCACATCAGAGGCTGTGTGTGTGTGTGTCTGTGTGTGTGTGTGTGTGTGTGTGTGTGTGTGTCTGTGTGTGTGTGTGTGTGTGTGTGTGTGTGTGTGTGTGTGTGTGTGTGTGTGTCTGTGTGTGTGTGTGTGTGTGTGTGTGTGTGTGTGTGTGTGTGTGTGTGTGTGTGTGTGTGTGTGATCCAGCAGGTTGGACTTTGTGCAGCAGTCAGGGTCCAAAAACACCCAGACGGAGACTCACCTGACATCGGGTCTGCAGAGCCTCTGGACCAGAACCAGGTCCTGGAGAGGTTCGTAAGACCAGGTTTAAAAAAACAAACAACTTCAGGTTTTTAACAGAAACAGGAAAATCGATCAGATCAATCAGATCGATCAATTTTACTCATGAAAGTACAGAAAAGTAGAATTTTATTAAACATAAAATCTGTTATTTATAATTATTTCTATAACATTAATATAGTAAATAACATAAACTCTACTATAGCACAGTTTATATTATACAGTATACTATCTAATATAAACCTGATCATAGTAAATATTCTATAGTTTTCTATGATCAAGTATATAAACGTTAGTTTTTGGATGATATTTAGAGTATTGATCTTTTTGTATTTAAGGCTGTTTGTTAGTTAGTTAGTTAGTTAGTTTGTGTGTTTGTTTGTTAGTTAGTTAGTTAGTTTGTTAGTTAGTTAGTTAGTTAGTTAGTTAGTTTGTTTGTTAGTTAGTTAGTTAGTTAGTTAGTTAGTTAGTTAGTTTGTTTGTTTGTTTGTAACATTATAATCCTGAGAGTCATTTTGTTAAGGCGCTGGGCGGGTATTCTCTGAGTTTTAATCCTAATGTTTAAATAGTCATCTCCTTAAGGTGTCCACCGTTTGTCTGTAGGCTGCAGCAGCTGGAGCAGGAGGTGGTGGGAGGAGAACAGGTCAGGAACACGGAGCTCCAGCAGAAACAGCAGCAGAGGAAGAACCTGGCAGACCGGAGAAAAGAGCGTCTCATCCAGGCTCTGTCTGAAAACAGCGAGGAGAGTGAAAACGTCCTGCTGAACGTCTACAACTCCATCCAGGAGGAGGTCCACGCCAAGAGCCAAATGCTGGTGAAGGTCCAGGAGAAGGTGAGGGACAAAGAATCAGAGAATGATGATCGAACTCTGAACGATCGGCTTTTAAATCTTTAATTTCTTCATTTTCGTTTTCAAACCTTCAAGACTTTTCAGTCTCATGATCATTTACGACTAACGGCCTCTTATTTCAGAGCACAGGTCCACCTGTTTATACTGGTTTATACTGGTTTATACTGGTTTATACTGGTTTATACTGGTTTAGACGGGTTTAGACAGGTTTATACTGGTTTATACAGGTTTATACTGGTTTAGACAGGTTTATACTGGTTTATACTGGTTTAGACAGGTTTATACTGGTTTATACTGGTTTAGACAGGTTTATACTGGTTTATACTGGTTTATACTGGTTTAGACAGGTTTAGACTGGTTTATACTGGTTTATACTGGTTTATACTGGTTTAGACAGGTTTATACTGGTTTATACTGGTTTATACTGGTTTAGACAGGTTTATACTGGTTTATACTGGTTTATACTGGTTTATACTGGTTTAGACGGATGTTTACTGGTTTATACAGGTTTATACATGTTTATACTGGTTTATACTGGTTTATACGGGTTTATACTGGTTTATACAGGTTTATACGGGTTTATACTGGTTTATACTGGTTTATACATGTTTATACTGGTTTAGACAGGTTTATACTGGTTTATACTGGTTTATACATGTTTATACTGGTTTAGACAGGTTTATACTGGTTTATACTGGTTTATACAGGTTTATACTGGTTTAGACGGATTTATACTGGTTTATACAGGTTTATACTGGTTTATACAGGTTTATACTGGTTTAGACGGATTTATACAGGTTTATACAGGTTTATACTGGTTTATACATGTTTATACTGGTTTAGACGGGTTTATACTGGTTTATACTGGTTTATACATGTTTATACTGGTTTATACTGGTTTATACATGTTTATACTGGTTTATACTGATTTATACTGGTTTAGACGGGTTTATACTGGTTTATACAGGTTTATACTGGTTTATACTGGTTTATACTGGCGATTTGTCGTTAACCCCGCAGACACACTTATGTCTCAGAGTTTCCTCCACTTTTCCACTTTTATCTGTCCTTTAGTTTTCAGAGAGTTTTAGACGTTCAGCCTTTTCATGATCGACTGACAGAAGTACAAAAACTCGTCGGTGTTGACCGTCTGTCCTGACAGCTGAAAGCTGCCAAACTGGAGATCCGGGACCTGCAGGCGGAGTTTGAGGTGGAGAGAAACGACTACCTGGCAACCATCCGGCGTCTGGAGAGGGAGGG